CTAGCTTTTTGGCCAAACAAATAGTTGATTTTAAAGTTGCATGTCTTCCTCAGTAACATGCGTTGCCTTAGGGTTTCTGCGGTGTTTACTGACCACAGCTTTGCCAATTTGTTTTAGTTTCAAAAAGTTGTCTTTGGCGACTTTCTCGATTCCTTATGACAATCTCATAGTAGATGCTTGTTATTAAGTTAAGTTATTCACATTTTGAGGTGTTCTTGACGTGAGCAAATTCCAGTTTTCTTGGCTTGTTGTGGTCCATCACCAACTCACTTACAGAAGGTAGCTATGTCACCAACTAAAATTACACACAAATGGAACAGTAGAACAGCCAGTTGCTTGTTTACAATGCCTATTAATCCATCCAAAAATGTCTTGGCCAACAATTAAAACTTCTTAAGATCAAATATTGTACTCCTTTCTCTTCATTTCCTTGGAATTTATGACAACTGGGAAAGAGGCTTTGAGAATGTTGCAGAAATACATGAGGCAAATGACACTCTGCTGTTGCACAATCAATAGTCGTTTTCGTACCTTAAGTTTGATTTATAACAGCCTTTTGATAAGAAAGTTTAGTTTGAGAAGTTAGATTTAAGGTAGAGGGTTTTCATAAATGGCATGACGTTTGTATCAATCGCGATTAAATATCGGGACGTGTCAATCGGCTGTGTTCTGACTCTTTGAAGTCTTCGATCAACCAACGTTTGAGAGTTCGAGTTATCAGAGAAGTCAAAGGAAAAGTAAAACTAGTTCAGAGTTAATGGGGAATTCCAGTTCAAATAAGCTGATAAAACGGGGTCAAATCCAGGGAAATCACATTTGTTTCGAGTTAGCGGGAAGTTCGAATTCACCGAGTTCGAGCTAGCGGGGTCTATTGAGTTTCCATGACTGGAGTTGGCAACAGTTCTTGGCACTTTCACGAAAAAAAATGTTAAAATTCTTTTTCATTCTTTTAATTTGCACTTGCAGGAATCTTTAGTGGAAACGTATCAGTTGATTACGACTTCATCCGAGTAGAAGTCGAGACATCTTCAGGTGAGACCAAAAGTGACGTTCACATGCACGTGTTTCCTAAAAAGGAAGTTCTCGAACGGGAGCAGAAACCTGGTGGTATTCCACTAAATGTAGCACTGATCATGTTCGACTCCACATCACACGCTAATTTTAAAAGAAAGATGCCCAAAAGCTTGGAATATCTGACGAAGAACTTAAACACCGTCTTCCTGCAAGGTGAGTAATGTTTTGTTGAGTTATGTAAAAAGGTTTTACTTTTGTGATTAGCGGCTGTTAAATCGTCTTTGAGTTGAAATTCCACTGCTTTGGAATGACGTATCAGTCTGACACGTCAATCACGCGTGCTTGTACGTAGGGGTGGTAGCTAGGTAAGCACTTCATTTCGTTGATTCTGTGGTCGCAACTTTCATCGTTAAGATAGGTCTAAGAATCCTCCTGTACATTAGGAAATCAACTGCACTTTAACCACCACCAGTAGTTTACTTTTCATGATTATCACTGGTTCAGCAACTGTTCAATTTTTCAGGATGAAGTATTTCTTTTAAATGACGGATATTTGGCCATATTATTCACGCCTGTCCCTAGTAATGACGGAATGAATACATGTGTATGTCAAGGGAATTCCGGCAAAGAAATCATTATAGAAAAAAATATTTAAGTCAACGAAAGGTGCAAAGTAATAGTATACTTTCATTGTCCCACCTTTTTGAAGTAATTTTTGAAAATTAATACAACTGTCCGTTAGAAAATATATATGTTATTTGCCGGCTGGGAGGTCTGTATGGTGAAAAACTGTGACTGAGGTCTT